ATATATATATATACGCATATATATATATATATATCTAGTTATATAGATATAGGTTGGTGGGTCTTACTACTTTGGCCCCTCGTCGATCGAAGGCCATACCTCGTCCCAGCAGAAGTACAGGGCAGGCTCATGAAGCCACCGAAGGGACCTCAGAGCTATTGCGGGCTTCTCTTTGCACGGCCGCGGATGAGCTCTGCCCAGGTGCACCATCTTGGACCCGCAAGACTTTCTGATCCAGGAAGTGTTTGGTGCACGAGGTGATGCCTGGCCCAAGCTGGGAAGCCATCATCAGTTCCACTTTCCCTCCAAAGCTCTGTCTTCAACAGTGCCGGCCTTAAGTGATCAGAGGCGTCTCTTGCATGATGCAGTCTGATGACATCAGGTTCTCAGTCATCTCAGACGCCTGGGCATGAGAAAGAGCAACAGCGACGGGCGTTGTTTGGGATACTTGTGCCAGGCACGGTTGGCCGTATTCTGCTCCGTTCGAACCTTCTTCAATGTCCAGCTTGATTCAATAGCACTCATCTGAAAGCAAGTCTTGGTTGGCTTCGTCGAGATTCTTTCAGTGCAGGCTCTTCGCGAACAGCACAAGCGCTTGCCAGGCCGCACACATGGCATGTTCGGGGCTCCACCCACCTACCGGTATGGCGGTTTCCGAGAATAAGGGACCCTAATAATGTACCCCAAATAGTAGGATCCTTATTATAAGGACCTCCATAATAAGGTACCCCTGATTTTCGGAAACTCCCGTATGTAGACCGCTCTACCATGACCGTTCAAGTCCGTCGGCTTTCATGCGAAAGACCAAAGCCAAGATTGACCCAATTTCTCCAATCCCGCCCTCAAACCAAAACGTCTACGAACCATCCAATTACATTACCCTGGGTTGCCGTTCGCGGTTTTCCGCGATCCACCCACCGGCGACCGGCAGCGGCCACATGACGTCCAGTCAGGCACCACCACCGCCACCAGTGGTCTCTTCCCGTAGCCGCTTGCATCAAGCCCGTGTGCAGATTCTGCTACTTACGTTGCCGCGTAGTTCTGTGAAATTTCGCATCCATGGGCATCACGACCAAGGTGATCTTTGCGGGGTGCCTGGCCCTCATGTTCGGAGTGCCCGTTGATGGTCTTCGAGAGTCCGTTGACCACCATGTGGCGGAAGAAGAAGCTCGTGGGGACGAATGCTGCTGCCTTATGTTCATGGAATCTCTGGATACCGAGCCAGAAAGTGCGACCTCGAGCCAAGAGGTGTAGTGCGCATATTACAAGTTGCTTCGACCGGACCGTCCGTTCTGGTTCATAAAGTATCACAACAGTTACAAGGCTCGGTGTTGCTGGACGTCCCGTTGGTTGTGCAACGACTTCAAGGAGCCCCACCACCGCAAGCCCTTCTCGGTCCAGCAGTCCAGTCACTACCTGTGGTGCGACAAAAGAAGCTCCCCGAAGGGTACTGTGGGTACTGTGCTCTGAGAGATGCCGAATCCCTGGTCGCCATATGGCGCGTGCCCTACCGGGCCCCGTTTTTCATATCATTGTGCCTTTCTGATTGCTAGTCTACAAGCCTCAGTCGGCCGGATCAGGCTGCCACAGAGGACTGGACACCGCACAGCGTAAGGTGCAGACAGAAAGGTGTTGCTCCCATGCGCATCAATTGTAGTGGGCTGGCTTCCTAAACTGCAAACGGAAGGTTCAGAACATGGAAGTACATTATATAGCAGATCCGTAAAATAAGGATACCGCCATGAACTGGGGTTCCACTCTATGGTCCGCTGTTTCCAGGATTTCACAACGCCCGAACCTGCTTTGCGCAAAGCTCTGCTGCCTGGGTTGTCCCTAACCCTTCAACTTTAAACCCTAAGCACTAAACCCTTGTTGTCCCTTGGTTCTCCGTGCTTGGGCTTGCACAGAAAGCTTCCCTCCCCCTTGGTCCGTAACGTTGTGCGCCTGTTATGATGTGCATTGAGCGACTCCTACATAGGCCAGAGATATGGAGAAGTTCAGCGAAGTCTCATGCAGAAGATCGTGGAGTCATGGAGCTCCTTTCCCGGCTGGGCACCGAGCATGAAAGATTCTCGCCGCGCAAGAGGGGACTTATGTAAGTGCTGACCGAAGGCCCACATCGAGACATGGTCCTGGAGCAAGAGTTCGTGGACATATCAGCAGAAGCAGACGGTGGAGAGCAGCTGCTCCTCTGGAATATCTGCCTGATAGTGGGGCTTTCAGGGCTGTTGTGTTGATTCTTGATGAAGAACCACCTGGTTTCGATTCCTTTGCCCAAGATTGGCATCAGGGCTGCGCGGGCGGCGTCCTTCTTTGTCGGCGTCAACCAATGTCCCAAACCTTCATATTTGGGCGTGGTCGATGTCTCCGTGAGTGTTCACTAATGTGTCCGTATACTATAACCCTAAACCCTAAACCAAAAAAACAGCAGTTCCTCGGCCATTGGTTGGGTCGTCGGTGCTCCCTTTAGAGCCCGTCCATGTTTCCGTCCGGTCTTCCTGTAGTGTCAAAGATGCTTGTCAATCTTGTTATTGTTCCGTGTGTCGTTCAATGAGGTCGCTGTTCGAGTGTTAGTGATGCAAGGCTGTTGCTTGAGGTTAATCCCGGGTCCTTCAGCGGCGTGTCTTTCTAGGGGCTATGGCCCATGGATATCACTGTATCGTCTGAGATACGGGAGTTTCCGAAAATAGGGGACCCTAATATAGTACCCTAAATAATAGGATCCTTATTATAAGGACCCCCAGATAAGGTACCCCCCAATTTTCGGAAACCCCCCATACTGAGCAGAATTCCTAGCAGGACCGTGCAGAGACCAGGAGACGAACGGTAAACCCTACACACCGAGTGGGTGGTTGTCAAAATTATGGTCCCTTTTTGGGGTCCTTTTTATAATACGGCACCTATTATTTAGGGTACCCCAAAAGGGACCATAATTTTGACAACTGCCCGAGTGATGCCGATTCGGACCGAGTCCGGAGAGGCCCGGTACTGTTTGACAAAGATGACATTCCGCTCCGCAAACGACTTAATAAGACCGGAGATCTGCATCCGACTTGCTACTTGCATCCACAGCCCTCTTCCCCAAACTGGTTCAAGTTTTCAAGAAGTCCAGCCTCGAAGCCGCTTCGAGGCCGGGGAGCCTCTTTGAACTGCGGCCCTACCGGGCAACGCGGTCGACGGAGCAGCTGCTGAAGCTCTCGTCCTTGGTGTCCCCAGCTTATCTGGGTTCTTGTTAAGGGATTTAATTTAAGTTACCATAATAGGGATCTATAGTACATAATATGGTTTCCTTATTATGGTAACTTAAATTAAATCCCTTAACAAGAACCAGTTATGTTCCCACTGGCTTAGTTCTGTTTCCGGCATCTTACTATCCTGGAATCTGAGGTCTCGTGTCAGTGCGACGGACTGCAGCCTGATCTTTGCTCTGTTGGAGAGAGTTGGAAGTCAGAGTGCGGAGCATTGCGGAGCTTTGGTTCAGGACCCTTACCTGTGCTGGACCAGTCTGCCACTGTCTCCGAGAGGATTTCCCGAATTCGAGGGATACCGCCGTCCGATGCTGGAGGAAGTTGATGCCATTGCAGCTTCTGCAAGAAGCGCTAAAGATCATCCAAATTCGCTGCAGGATGTCCTTTCTCATGCGCACTCGATCAGTGCTCTTGCTGATGGAGCTGTTCCACCTCATCTGTGGGAGGAGCTTAAGGAGAAGGTGCCCTGATTTCTGCGGGGACTGCCTAAATCCCTCTGTCAGTAAGTGGACACGACCTGGGTCGAGTGGCATCGCAATGCATGGGGTTGAGGTGGTTGGCCAGATCTGCCAATTCTTGGCAAACTCCTCTGCTTTCCAGAACCTCGAGGCCCTCTCTGAGTCTCTCCTCAGCTTGCAAGTAGACTTGGATGCTTTCAGTGTGACAGGACATCATGGCGCTGGATGAAGGTGAAGAGCTTGAGCTGCGGTCACCCGAGACTATCATGGCCCACTCCCAGAGAAGAGCAGATGCCCCAGCCGGAGACGACAGCAACAAAACCCAAAATGATGCAACGAGCTACTGCACCTGCTTACAAATCTTGAGGCGCGCATCTGCTCGCAGCTTCGCAAAGTCAAGTTCCTGGCAGTGCCTTTGGAAAGCGGTGTGGCCGGTCCGTCTGGCTGGCCAGTCTTGTAGAGGGGGGGTGGCAAGCGCTTTGCTGCGATGGTATGTTTCCATGCAGTTGCGAGAATCTGAACTTGCGGGGCAGGCACACCTTGGTAGCGCCCTGGCGCATCTCGCTAGTGTTGAAGGAACATCGGCCTCCAATGCCAGCGGCCCAATCTACACTGCTTGTCGCGCCGTCGGGGCCATGGTGCTTGCGACGCCATGTCCCAGGTTTGCTTTGCCCGCCTACCTTTCCGAGCATGTCGGCTGCTCATGAATCAATCGAGCTGAAGTTGGTTCTGTGACTCGCAGCTGACACTGGAAGGTTGCACTTCTGCGGATGCTGGGCGTCCGTGATGCCCTGGAGCTCCCGCAAGAGTCGCAAGGTGCTACCGAAACGGACATCTCAAGGGCACGCCTCTCATGAACCTCGCTGTCGTTCTTGTAGTTCTGTGCCCTGTGCAGTCGCTGGTGTTGGCGGCGGTAGCTTTCCGTTTCGGAGCTGTTTCAATCAGGTCGCAGACGAATCCATGACGTGGCTTTTCGAAAGCTTGGCTTGTTTTTCATCCCACGGCGTTGTGCTCCTCCGAACTGCAAGCTGCCTCCTTGGCAGGAAAACGGTGCCGACAGTTTTTCTGATGTGACGTTGCGCTGTGATGGCGGCTCGCTCTTCCTTCATCGCAACATCCTAATGGCCCGCAGCGACTATTTCCGGGCTATGTTTCAGGCGGATGGTATCTGTGCAGTTTTTCCTGACTCAGTGTCGGATGTGACAGGGGGAGAGTGGCTTTCGGGAAAGCCAAGAAGGTGGAGCAGAGGCACCATAGACCCGTACTATGTAATGTAAATAATGTGATAATCTGTCTCTCCCTCTCTCGATATATATATATATGTATAATATAGACATATAATGTATGTGTATGAATGTATCTATATATATATATACACACACACAGTATTATATACACATACACATACGCACCTGTCGGGCATCGCCTGGCGACGGAAATCTCGTCCTTGACATATCCATGATTTGCTAGCATCAGAATGCGTGATCACAAATGAAGACTTATGCAGCAATCTGACAACGAAATAGAGGTGTCCCTCTTCGAGATCCCGCTGGAAGTTGCCAAGATCTTGTTCGGCAACTTGGCGGCACCTCTGCAGCCTCTGCAGTACCTGCTAGTAGTCGGAATCAACCCTAAACCCTGAACCCCAGACCGTGAATCAAGCTTTCCTCGAGTTGACTGCCAGGCTACTTGTATCATGGCAAAGTGGATGAGCGGCCCCTTGAAGGTCCTGAAGGAACGTGCGCCCTCCCCGTGTGCCTCGCGTTCTGTTTCTGGGTAGTTCTCTAAATTAGGGTCACTTTTCAGGTCCCAAATATAGTACACCACCCTTATGAAATGGACCCTCAAAAGGGACCCTACTTTCGAGAACTACCCATCTGTGTTGCGTGGTTTTGCAGTTCCAATCTTTTTGCAACAGCTGCATCCGGGCTCGAACGGATACACGTTGAAGTAGAGGACAAATGTGAGACCAACGAAACTAGGCCCTGGGCTGCAAAAGCTTCAAGCCCAGACCCCAAGAAGTGCCAGATCCAAGCGATGTTCAAGCGGCATTGCTCGCTTAAATTCCAACAGCTCGTCCCACCCCAATTATGTCTTGGAGCAGATCCCATTGCCGCTGTGACACGCCCTCGAAGGCCAGAAGCTGCGATCAAAACCCAGGTGCGCTTATGGAAGTGTCGAATTCATGCTCCAGTTCTGAAGGTGAGACAGGCGCCCAAGAATGCGGCTCTTTCGACGTTGCGCCGGCTGAAATTGAATGGAGCGATGGTACAAGCAGCCGAGACAAGGGGAACTTGGATAATGTCAAACCGCCGCTGCAAGGCCCGAGCAAAGCTCACATGCAACAGCTGCTGCTGCTTCTAGCTGTGCCTCCCACAGCTTCTCAGAGTGGTCCCAACACGATCTTGATGTCAGCACCCCTTCACTTACACCGGCTCTTGATCCCTTTGCTCCCGGTTAGGTACTTGTTTGTCTCTCCGTGTTGGGGAGGACCGGGCTTGCGCTCAGTCCCGAACCTCAGTCCGTTTCCACTAGGCATATGCCCGTTAAAACTGCCTCCAATCGAGGCACTCATGGGCAGGGGAGAGCTGGCTGCAAGATTCGCCTGGCCATTGCTACTGCTGGCTTTGAGGCACTCAGGTCGAGGGAGCAGCTTTGCTCGGCAGTCGTACCGCTGGCAAGGTCTTGCTGCTGTGCTTCCTGCACTATTTGGAGCACCGCCGCGGTCCGAAATGGCAGGCTAAGCTTTCTGAATGCATATGGGAGCTTCCGAAAGCTCAGTTAGAACAGCCGACAGTGTTTGCCTGCACGTAGCTTAGAAGAAATGACTTTCGCTTCGGTCAGGGAGCAGACGTGCGAACTCTTGCACCCTGCCTTCTCATCGGAGCTGGGCCCAGCTTCATGGAAGGCTTCACCAGGTTTAGGGCTTCGGGCTTAGGTTGTAGTTGTCGGGTTTCGGGTTTCGGGTTGTTTTTAAGGCTATTGTAGGGTTTAGGGTTTCGGGTTGTTTTTAAGGCTAAGCCCTGCAAGCCAAATGCAAAACTGAGCCTCAAGCCTCCTCTCTCACCACTGAGGATGGCTGATCCGTTTTGCTGTTCCCATACCCAATGGTGTAACCGAGCAGGCCCGGCTATGCGGCTAGTGTCTCTGTGTGTGTGTGTCTGTTTTTTGCCGTTCCACGCCATCCGGTCACTTTTCAAAGCGAAAAGACATCAAGGCGTGGTCCATGCTGGCGATTTTCGCGAGAGCCTCAGCATCTCGCGATGCCTACGGGCTCTACTGTCGCTGGTAGTCGTAGGGGAGTGGCGCAATGGTGATGGTAGGTGGCAATGATCGTTGGCGTCGTGAAGCCCTCTGCACCTTTGGGCCTTCAGTGCACAAGTGCTCCGAAAACGCTTCTGCCAATGGCGAGGTCACAGGACCTATGCCGCCAGCAGCTGTGGCAATCGCAGCGGTTTCCACTGCCGTCATGGCCTCGCAAAACATTGCAGAAAGCTTTGCTTCGATCCCATCTTCGCAATCTTTGGGGCTCGTCCGAAGGTCGTCACAGGCACAGTGACCCTGGCACAGGGGCTCAAGGCTTTCACTGACGAGGTTCGGGCCTGATATGGAACCTGGTATCTTATGAATTCCGGGGAGCTGCACAGGTTGAATAGAGAGACAGGTTGTTTGGCTGGTGGTGATCGCCTTCTTCTTTGCAGAGGGCTTTCACAAGCCAGGGCCCGAGCCGTAGAGCGACAAGGGGAAATCGCAGCATACATCAGGACTGGGCTGGGCGATCGCATCGCCCTGAATGTGATCCAAGCCGTCGGTGGAACGACGCCATACCCTCAGAGATGAGACCCTAAACCATAAACCCTAAACCATAAGCCCTGAGCCATAAACCCTAAATCCCACACCCGAAGAGGCTGAAGCTTCAACTCTCCCTCCGTTGCACAGATTGGGCGTCGCCTATGGCTTGAACTTCGTCGAGCTCCTTGTCGCTGCCGCGATGCCGTGTTCGGCAGCACGTGCCAAAGTCTAAGGAAGGCTCACGAAGGAACCGCCCCCCCGATAGCACGATGCAAACCGGACGCATCAAGGCCGCGGCAGTGTTCTACCCCATTACGCAGTCCGCCTCGCACCTGAGTGCCCTGAGACACGGCAAAACCTGAAAATCTTGTCTGCCGGCCCCAGGTGTGCAAAGCCAGCGGATCAGATCCTCATCAGGCCTGCCAGACGAGAGCACGTCAAAGAAGCCTCACATCTGCCTGCAGGGAACCGCATCCAAGTGCGGCAAGTTCCTGGTGGAATGCTGCTACCAGGTCACAGCTGCAGATCCGTCGAAAGGTTGAAAACTGCTGAATCAGGGCGTCGGAAGAATACGAAAAGCCTTCGAGGCAACAGCAACTTCGTCCTGCATGTTTCTCACCGGCGCAGCACAGAACTACTTTGTGCTGAAGCTGGCGGAGGAGGTTTTTTGCACGGTAAACCTAAAGGATCCTAAAAGCCCTGAACGGAGAGACCTTCCTTCCCTCGAGAGGTGGGAGTTGTGATCGAGCACCCTTTCCAGAGCTGGCTCAGAGCAGCCTTTGCTCCGGCTCAGACCTCAGAGAGTCTGAGGGGTTTAGGGTGTAGGGGTGTAGGGGTTTAGGGTTTAGGGTGAGGAAAGGAGAGGAGCTGAGCAGAACACCGGAGCTGCGTGGTTCTGAGGCCGTGGTCTCTTTTCTCATGACGCCCCTCATCGCCTTGCGCTTGATGCCGCCAGAGTCGCGGACAACCCCCGACGCTCCCAAGGCTCAGCATCCGTAGATCCTAAACCCCAGCGAAGAAGCCATGTCGCGTGGTGACCGTGGGATCACAGGCAGCACGCCAGCAGCTGGCAGCTATGGGCCCCGTCTCCGATGACGAGAAAATCTTTGGCGCGTTGATGATGTGTGTCCCGGCTGTTGTCATGGTCTGTGACAAAGACTTTACCGTGTATCTAAGCCTAACATGTGCAAAGTGCAGCAATCGCGCAGACAAGCAGCGCAAGCTGGTAGCTTCGATCTGGAGGCATGGTGTGCCTGTGGGCAACCACATCGATTCTTCAGATTCCGCCGGTGGTAACAGCGCTCTGCGGCTTCGCGGGCCTTCTTCTTACTGGTGTTCTTACTTGGGAGGACGCTCGGACGGTACAGCACGGGGATCCTGCAGATTTCTGTCGGTCATCCCACCCTACAGTAGCCCGTCTGACGAGTCGTTGCCTGTTGCAATTCGGATATTGTAGAAACCTGATTAAGAAACCCTGGCTCTTTCTTTGGGTTCTTAATGTGAACCCTAATCCATTGTGGTGATGGGGCCAGGGTTTCTTAATCAGGTTCCTACATTAGTTAGATATAAGTGATGATACAACTAGCTAAGCGTCTTCTCGCCTAGTCCGGGGAACTACCCCGCAATCCTAGTCTGCGTCAGAGTGGTAGTACGAAATATGAGGAGTCCAGGAGTGCAAGCGCTAACTGCTGTTCCTCTGAAGCCGAAGCCGACTCAAAAAGTTCGTCAGACGAGTCGTTTTGCAGGACTGCGCAAGCAACAAGGCAGCCTGGAGCACCTTCATCTCCTTCGCAACATTGGTTGGCCCGAGTGTCAGCTGACATCACATGGTGCTGCAACCGCGAAAATGAGCGGTGCCTCAAGGTCTCGCAGAGATGTTGAAAGCTTTGGGCATTGTGGAGTACGCCCCCTTTTCCAGCCGCTGTGTGGCTTGGCAGGACCTTTGAGTGAAGTGATTTCAGGTGGTCATCTTCTGTCGTGACGTCGCACATAACTGCTGCAGGGCTGAGTCAGGCAGGGGCCCAGTTTTCTGCCAGGCTCCACGACGCGAAGCTGCTTTGCAGGTGCATGCCTTTCTCATCATCGTTGGAGCCTACTGGGCCGTACATTATCTTTTCGCCTCCCAGGTGCGGGAGTTGCCAATTTCAGGGGTCTCTGAAGCTGGAGTCGCAGCCGGGGGTGTGCCGTGGGGTCTTAAAGAAAAGGCTGTTCCTTTCAGGAGTTTAAGCCAGTGGGATGTCGCTCCTCCGTTTTGGAGGCACTGTTTCGGTGACGGCTGTTCACGCAGGTGGCACATGTATCTGCTCTTTTCCAACCTTTTCTCGTCATGTTGGCTGGAGACTCAGTGGGGCTTCATGAGGACTAAGGAGTGATTCAGAATCGGGGTAAGAAGCTGAGCCCTAAACTCCTAAGCCCAAAACACCGAAACCCTTAACTCCTAAGCCCAAACTCCAAAACCCTTAACTCCGAAGCCCAAAACCCAAAGCTCCCAAACTAAAACCCTGAACTCCCGAACCCCCCAAGCTCCGAGGTCCAGACGGGAACTCCACCAGATGCGGCTTTCTTCGCTCTGGCCTTCGCCTCCAATCTTTTTGCGACATTAACACCCTATGCCTGATGCCGAGACTCCCCCGCTTGCCGACCATGCTCGGGGTTTGGGTGGTTTAGAGTTTAGGGTTTAGGGTTAAGTTTAGCCTAAAACTCCTAACCCCTAAACTCCGGCTGGAGGCTTCTGCGCAATCTGCGGTGATTTTCGCCGGTCAATACATCCAGGCGAACGAGTGGTACAAGGTGCATAAGCCAAGATCTGTTGCTGCATGTGTGCTCTAAAATGTGTGACTCTCCTCTCTGTCTCTCTCTCTCTCTCTGTCCTGTCTCTCCCTCACTCTCTCGCTCTCCCTCTCGCTCTCTGTCCCTCTGTCTCCCTCGCTCTCTGCAGTGTTGACACAATCATTTCAGGCCGGATTGGTTTACATGGTGGCCTACTATCTTCAGTGGTTGACTGTTGGCCCGACTCTGAGATCGACCCCCATTCATCTTCGCGCGCGCTTCCTCTCGGTTCACGTGTAAGGCGCTGTGTGGTGGCGGATCATCGGCCTGCTGTGAGTGGCGACCGAGGACGATGTTCCAGCCTTTCTACATTCGATAGGTAGCTTGGGCAACCATGCCTCAGCCAAAGACCTCCCAAAGAGGTGATCTATCGAGCTGAAAGAACATTGGTCGAAGACTAGATTTCTATCCCGCTGGCACAGCTGAGAGAGCACCCAAGTGATCCTACTTGTACCCGCTTGTCGCGAGTGTTGGCAGCACAGTCCTGGGGTGGAAAGTGCGAAAGAATTGGCAGGTCGAACTCCGTAGACCTCATGTGCTTCGCTGATCAACTTGGTGTCCCGTCCTCCTAGCATGTTTGAAATCCCGTGTGGCAGCCTTTGAGAGTCCCTGCTCGCTGAGCAGGCGCCTCTTTGAATTTGCGCAGCTCTGGGTTGCCAACCAGCAGGACCAGCTTTCAGCCCTTTCAGCTGCTGACCAACTCCTTAGAGTTCTGCGTCTGTCATGGTGTCTGCGTGCGTCTGACTGTGCGGGCGTGGGTGCGTTTGCGTTTTCCTGCAGACGCTTGTAACTTGGACTCGTGGAGGCTCAAGTGCCACAGCTGGTGCAAAGAACAGCTTGGAACACGGAATGACAGGTTGCTGATGTTGCTGGCTGACATCACAAGACCCCGCAAAAGGAGCCAGACAGTGGAAGAAGTATCCCTGACCCTCTTCTAGAAAACGCGAAGCAAGGAGAGTCAAAGGAGAGGCGTAGCTTGAACCCTACACTAAACCCCTAAGTCCCTAAACCCTTAACCGGTTGATGTTGCAATGGCTTTCTGCTCTGGCCATGGCAATCAAGCTCCCTTCTCGATTTGCCTCGACAGAGGTTGGCACGAGCCTCTGATAACGACATAGATAACGGCCTGGCACCTGCTGAGCCTGAGCTCAGGAAGTTGGTGCACTTCGGGATTCTCCTGAATGGGCCACCAGATTTCCGCTCTGTCCAGGCCCGCGGACGTGTTGCTCGGGCTGAGACGGCACTGCCATGATCGCAAGGTGCGCATGTGGCCCCCCAATTCCGGGCGAGTTTGACTATACAGGCTATCCGAGGCGCGTGCCAGTTCCGGACCGGTTCCCTCCCAGCTTTGCGGTTCTGCGTACGAATTTTCCCGCGAGGCATGATAGTGGGGACCACAGATCTGCGCCTTCGCGGCCGTCCAGCCAGAAAGTGACCGATGAGGACGTCGGCCCCTAAGGACGAACTCAGCCTGTCCGGATGCCAAGCTCACCCGATGTGCTCCGCCCCAAATCAAACCCAGGTCTTGCTTGCAAGGCGGCAGCCACGTGCAAAGACACACAGTGACGCCGTCTTCCTCGCTGCTGCACTTCGTCTGGCCCCGAGTCGCTTCCCAAACGTCCTTGTGTTCTTCGATTAAGGCTTGGGGTGTTGGGGTCAGGATGTAGTGTTTAATCTTTCCAAACGATAGCGGTCTCTGACTCTTCGAGCTCCTTGTAGCAAGCTTTATTATATGAACACATCAGCACGCATACGCAAAGCGTGTATACAACTTCACATATTATCTAGACATCTAGACTTATGGCTTACGTATATATATATATATGTATGTGTATATGTGTGTGTATATATATAGACTTATACAGATACATGTGCATAGATGCATGTATATGCATACAGACGCACATATATATATATATATATGTTCAAGCATATGCACATGTATGTATAACACACACGTATCTATCTATATGTGTATCGTGGTGTATGTGTCTGTACACATACATACATACATAAATGCATACAGCGAAATTTGCATGCATGCATGCATTCATGCATTATATACTGACACACAAAACATACAAATGCGCTGTAATTATGCATGTATTTAAGTTTGTATGTATGTAAGTATGTATGTATGTATGTGTGTATGTATTCTGTATGTAAACACGCATGCATACATGCATGCACAGGTGCAAGTATACGCACGTACATAGACCCATACATTGCATGCATACAGGCATTCATGCATTCACACATGCACATGTATGCGTGCATGTTCTCATTCACGCATGTATGCATGTATGTGTACACATGTGCATGTGGGCACGTATGTACACAAGGATGCATGGGTCGTTGAGTGGATGAATAGATCGACGCATGGGTGGGTGGGTGGATGGATAGATGGAGGGATGGATGGACGGATGTATGCATGTATGTACGTATATGTGCATGTATGCATCTATGCATCTATGCATGTATGCATGCCTGCCTGCCTGCATGCATGCATGTATGCAGCATGTATGTACGTATGTGTGTATGTATGTATGTATGTATGTAGGTAGGTAGGTAGGTAGGTAGGTAGGTAGGTAGGTAGGTATGTTCTGTTCTGTTCTGTTCTGTTATGTCATGTCATGTCATGTTATGTCATGTTATGTTATGTTGTGTTATGTTATGTTATGTTATGTCATGTCATGTCATGTCATGTCATGTCATGTCATGTTATGTTATGTTATGTTATGTTGTGTTATGTTTTGTTATGTGATGTTATGTTATGTTAGTATAGTTGTATCAAGCAGACACCGCTTGCTCTGCTCCCATGCCGTGCCTGCAGGTGCAAACTGCCTCTTTCAGCAAGTCCACAACGATGCGCTCAAGCAACTCGTGGACTGCTGCATTGCCAAAAGCACCGAACATGCAAGCTTCCTCGCAAGTGTAGCGAAGACACAGGACGGGCTCGAGTACCATGAAGTCTATGCTGGTGATCGAGTCATCACCGAGGGATCGGTGGGCTCGCACCTTTCCTTAAATATGCTGCGAGCAGAAGTCTCACAGTTCTTCAGATTTGGGTGTTACTGTATCGATCCGGAAGGCGCTTCTATCTTGCGCATGGCGTCGGGCTGGAAACGGTGCTTCGCGGAGTGACCGCTGGTCGCTCAGAGGAACCTTGTTGCTTCATACCTCTACCCTAAACCCTAAACCAGCAGGTAAAAAAAAAAAAAAACAGCAGGTCAGCAGCATGCCTGCCGGACAAACCTTCGGCGAGCTTTCGCTCCTGCACAAGCGGTGGCCTCAGCTTGATGCCTTCACTGCCTGTATGGCGAGTAAAGGATGTTAAGGCAAGCATTGGGTTGATCCACTACGACATGATGATGAGGAGGATATATTAAGATTAATATGAATACTAATATTGATATTATATCATATTATATTATATATATATATATATTATTTCAATGATGATGGTGGTGGTGATGGTGACTTGGATCGGGAGTCGAGCATTCAGCCTGCACGCGCTTTCATGCTCTTTCGGACGTGGCACGGACGGGCGGAGAATTTGGTATGCAGGACTCCCACTTCCTTATGTTCGGCCAGAGGTCTCAGCAACAAAATGTAGACTCCTACACAAAACTAGACCCACCATGTTCCACGAAGTCAAAAGATCAGAGTTGAATCATGAAGGTGCCCTCACACATGCTCAGTGGTCGCCACCCGACGTGTTGGCGTTTGGGCAGCGGCCAGTGACAAATTTCGGCAGGCATTCGCACGGCGTGTGGTGTGATGATGTTTAGTTCCAGTCGCCGAACTGTCATTTGAAGCCGGTTGCGCAGGCGATCCTGTCAGCCGTGAAGCGGCAGGCCCATCCTTTGCACGCGTGTCTACATGATGGGATGAAGACACGAGTGAAGGAATCTTTAGGCAAGCAATACACACTTCTCACGTGCCGAGGTTTCAGAAGTGAGGGCCTTTCTGGCAGAGGTGAGCTTCGCTGCCGTTGGGCTGGAAGTTGTCTGCGCTGATGTACAGAATATGGCCCGAAACTCAAGCCGGGAACGGCATTACGCGGTTGCAGGTGCCCCTTCTACAGAATTTGTCTGCTCGGGAGTTGGACTGCGTGTCCGACATGCTACGACCTTGGAAAGGTTGTCTGCCTCACTGGCCGTTTGCTGGCTTGAGATTTCCGACAAGGTCCTATGTCAGATCTTATGCAGCTGGCGACAAGCCACTCCAAGGTGGTGTAGAGTACGGGCCCCATACGCATGAGCAGGCTTTGCTAGCTTTGCACATGATCACCTGGCGCCCCAAGGCTGACCCACGCTTTCTTCGTAATGTCGGGACAGCTGAAATCCGGGAACTCGCCCGGCAAGGAGGACAGAGTCGGCGTCGTGTGAAGGCCAATCTCCAGAGTGCGTGAGTGTGACGCCGAAGGAGGAACTTCTGCAAAGTGGCCAGTGCATCGGTCCGCCTCGATGTTTCCCTTGCACCGTGGACCCTAAACCCTAAACCCTAAACCCTTCCTGCCTTTTTTGCAGGTGAGCGCTTGCTGCTGTATGGAGATGCCTCTGCGGCCTGAATCACAGCGCTCTGCCGGTGTCTGCTACGAGCAGCTCATACAACCATGCTTCGTATTCAGGCGAAGCTGGAAGTCACAAAGCGATGTGATCTCGTTTTTGTGAATGTCGGCTCCGGCAAGTTTCCAGAGCTCTGAATCTCTTGGAGGAGTTTGTCACTTCTTCTCTGATGTTGGATGCCAGGCACGGAAGATGCGACAGCTTCTGGGCAAGCAAGAGATTGCCATCAAGCTGCAGCAGCCCAGACTTATGCTGCCACCTCAGCAAAGCGCCTCGTCTCCTCGCGGGCCTCTTAGCGAGGCCTCGCATAGTTTCCAGATCCGAGGTCGAGCTTGCGCTCATCTCCTGCACTTTCAGCTTTGGCCCCAAGCAGTCCTCCGCCATGATGCCATTTGCATACTGTCGACTGAGGAGCAGCCTCAATCGCTTGTCGCCCAGCTGGCAAAGTCGCTGGAGCTGAGCGAGTATATGCCAGGCATCCAGCACTAACACTTGACATACCATGATCCAGTATGGTATACCGTGGTATACTATGCTATGATATACTCTGATATGCTATGATATACTATGACATAGCATGATGTGCTATAAGTGTCTTGGTCCTGAACAGAAACCAGCATTGGAGCCCTTCCACAGGAGCGAAGATACCGCCTTCCATCGGCCTCTTCGTGGTCCTTGACGGAGATGTTCAGGCCGGCCCTAAGACCTAAGCCCTTTTCGGGGGGGGGGGG